TAGATGTTGCCACTTCAAATTCCACTGCTTGACTAAACATACAGGTGTCGATTTTTTAGTAGATGGCCAAAAAATGCGCGAACGTCTGTTGGCTTCGTTCGTTTGTTTTCGTTCTGTCTTTGTCGCTCTCATAGGTATAGTGCAAAGAAAGTGTTCAACGTACTGTGCTTGCAAGACTCATTTTCAGTTGAGCACTCGAGCCGGTCGGATCAGCCTACTTCGCCTCTTTCATCAGAATGGTATGTTTTATACATTAAATAACAATTTTACTAGTGACTGGAGTAAAATTTTCTAATTTTTATTTTTATTTTAATAGGCAGACAACTCGGAAGCGACATCGGCACAATATTATTGGCCGCCGATGTTTTGTCCGCCTTACACACCGCAATACCATCCATACCGTCCAGTCATATTGCCAGCCCATGACTTCCATAGGGCTTGGGACGCACATTCATTGCACCCACCAACTTACCACCAAATTGACGAGCAACAGCCTCAACAACAACAACAGTCTCAACAACAGCAGCCTCAACAACAACAGCCTCAACAACAACAGCCTCAACAACAGCAGTCTCAACAACAACAGCCTCAACAACAGCCTCAACAACAGCCTCAACAACAGCAACAGCCTCAACAACATCCCCAACAGCAATTTTTGCCTCAGCAGCAACCATCTCAACAACGGCAGCCGCCTCAACATCCTCCTCAGCGGCAAGTCCGAAACCATTTTCGGCGTCCGCCTCCGCAACGATGGAACACAGTTGGCGCGCAGCAGAATCGGTGGTCAGTACCAGTGCCATTATAAAAATTATTATATATTAATTTTTTAAATAGTTGTTGATAAATATATTTTTCATTATATTTATCAACAAGAGTATAGCTGGATATTTTAAAAAGCTGTTAGAGATGCCCATGTCAATACTCAATCCAATAATTGTAGCTATTCTGTAATCACTGTCTCAGTTATTATAGCAATTCATTTTTGTATTAGTATCCCATGGCAGTTTTAAGCTTTCTTGATATTCTTACCATTACATTTTGCAAGAGTGCAGCTTGAAAGCAATTGTATTGCAAGACCATCTCCACTGATACACAGACAACCGTATAAGTTCTCAAATATTTTTTATTAGTTACAATTAATATTCAACGTACCTTATTCATAACTAGAAAAAACTACATCCCTACGGCTAGGGGTAGTATTATATACAGATTATTGATACCTTTTAATAATTAACGAAATGGATAAAAAGGTTGCAAAATTAATTGCGGAAAATGTAAATACTTGTGAGGAAGTTGATCTTTACAAATATAGCGACAATTCTTTATTAAAAAAGGTAAATTATTTTATTAATTATTAAAATTTGAATAATCTTAAATTGAAATTTTGCGAACTCTTTCTCTCTCTCTCTCTAAAGGCATTCTTTCGCGTCTCGTTTCGTTCCCAGCGCATCGCCATACTCTCCACGGATGCCTAACGCTCCACGTTTTCGCGGCGCGATTTGGCGAGAACGAGAGTTAAAATCATTATCGTCGCGCCGGCACTTTTGATCGGCGACCGACTGTTTGTGCGAGAGACACGTGTAAGTCTGTATGATCGCTGTCATCGGCACAAAGCGCCCGCGTACGGCGTACAACACGCAGGTCGGCTTCGCGCGGAGAGTTGAAAGTCGAGCGAATCGCGCGAGCATATAGATGTCGATCGTTCGTGCTCCCCTGATAGTCGCTCCTTCCATTTAGAAAGTGAAGTTGAACCCGTACTCGAGCGTTCGCTCTCTCTCTCTCTCTCTCTCGTTCTCTCGCTCGCTGATTAACATTAACGTTCGGCAGGGTGATAAGCGTCGCGCGATTTTGTCTTAGCTTGCCCGATTTACGGGCATCTTTTAATTATTTTTTTGCTCGGCGAGAAATCAACAGGGAATATTGAGTTCATTGTATAATACATTTGACCAACATATTATACCATTTGCGGGGCGTCGGCACTGTTTTCATTGAAGGGGGCTTCAGCATCGTGGCGGTTCTTAAATGGTTTTCTATCGCATTTTCGCGTATTAAAAATACGTTACTTGTGTTCAACTCGCTTTAACTGTGATAATTATTATTTTATAGAACTAATTAAAAATTGGCGATATAATTCGTACTTCATAGTTACTTACAGTTTTTGTCAAAAGTAAATATGTTTGTTTGGTTATTTATAAAAAATTATAAACTAAAAATTCATGAAATGAGAAACTTCAGTATACAAAAGATCTTATGAATTTTTAAAAATCGAAATTTTTTTTATGTAACATTGTTTTTTAATATCCCAAGAATGTGTATATCAATTTTTGTATTATAATGTCCATTAGAAAATAATTAGAGAAGCAATTTAGTGTATCTGCGCCGCACCGTAGTATCGATTTTTAAGTATTTTAGTAACATTTTCGTTAATAACTTGAAAAATCCCAGGGCTACCCATACTTTACAATATACCATCTGAAAGTTTAAGTTTTTATCTATAAAATGTTAGTTTGTCTGCTGGGGAACTTGTCCATGAAGTATTTGTAAACTATCGATTTCCAAAAAATTTTCTCCTTGCGCCATAACAGCCCATGTAAAATGACCTACAACTTGCGAACTTTAACGTTAATTATCTCAAAATTTTCCACGGTTATGAATACAAACAAGGATACCTTTGGATTCACGTTATTTTAATTTATCTAAATTATTATAGCTGACGTATAAACTGTCTGCGCTGGAGTCCTCTTAACTGTTCGAACGTATATCGTTTTCGCTCCGTGCGTCCTTGTTTCGTCGTTTTTTTTGCATTTTTTCCTCTTGATACGCACATTTTTTTCCTTGTTTTACACACCCAAGGCTTCCATTATTTATAAGATACACAACGAAATTGTGCGTTTCATATGCTTTCTTTAATTTTCAACATATCAACCTAATTATCTTTAAAATAAATTAATTTTGTATTTGAGAATAAGATGTACTGCTGGCGCCGTCGCTGCAGCTGGCTTATCGAACACACCGATTAAACGCTCGCGCGCGCAGTCAAGCTTTTTCATTATTAACATTTTGAGCCAGCAGGGTAGTCCGGGAGCTGGTATGGTTTCGAATGCAATGTGTATGTCATGAGTGAAAACCTATCATTCTTATGTATTTTGATACCTTGAATCCGAAACCGCAAGTAGATTTTTCAAAAAATAGGGGAAAATTTGTTTAAAGTGCAATTGTTTAAACAAACTGAAAAAATGGTTTTTTCGCATTGGACAATTTTTTTTAGAAAATATGGCCTATTTTAAGACAAAAATATCCTTTGCAATTTTTTCATAAAATTTACCGTTTTTCACTAACTTTGATAGTTAATAACTTTTGATCTATTATAATGCGTATATACAAGGTGTCAAATAAGTAACGGAACAAGGCTGTAGCTTTTTAGGTACAGATTATTAGACCAAGGTCAAGGTCATTCCTTTAGTAACTTTCAACGCGGAATCCGATGGTGACCCTGGATTTGACCTTGAGATTGACTTTCAAGGTTATTTCAAGGTCAACTTTGTTTTTTTAAATGGGAACCCCTATTTTTGACAACGGCAATCGAAAGAGCGGAAAATTTTACGTCCAAAACGGTATTTTTAAATTTTTTTTCATGGCCTTGAGAAGGTCGATTTAAGGTCAAATGCTTGAAAAACTGCCTAAAAGCGTTTTTTTAATTTTTAAGATATCGAAAAATGACCTCTACAAAATTTGTTCAGAACAGAGTGGGCCACCCAATGCACCAAAAACCTTTGACCTTTAACCTCATTTTGAAGGTCATTTCAAGGTCGAAGTGTTTTTTGTAATGGAAACCCCTATTTTTGACCCCGGATTCGCATATAGCGCGAAATCAGAAAGAAACATTCAAAACGCAGTGAGTGGAAAAAACTTAGCCGGCAAAAAAACTGTACCTATGTCTCTGCTTGCTCCTCATTTAAAACAACTTGACTTTCGGTTTGGATAACCCGTTACTTTATTATTCAAACAATCAAAGGTCAAAGATAAGGTCACTGTAACATGCTCTCAGTAGAATTTAATAAATTTAGCCCGAAACATTTTGTAAATGTTTCGCGAATAATATTGGATCTAAATTTCACATGACCTTAGCGATGAACGTCGTGGATCAATCGAAACTCAACATAATACCTTATCCAAACGTCGGATTTCGCGCTATGTGCTAATCCGGGGTCAAAAAGAGGGGTTTCCATTACAAAAAACACTTCGACCTTGAAATGACCTTCAAAATGAGGTTAAAGGTCAAAGGTTTTTGGTGCATTGGGTGGCTCACTCTGTTCTGAACAAATTTTGTAGAGGTCATTTTTCGATATCTTAAAAATTAAAAAAACGCTTTTAGGCAGTTTTTCAAGCATTTGATCTTAAATCGACCTTCTCAAGGCCATGAAAAAAAATTTTAAAATACCGTTTTGGACGTAAAATTTTCCGCTCTTTCGATTGCCGTTATCAAAAATAGGGGTTCCCATTTAAAAAAACAAAGTTGACTTTGAAATAACCTTGAAGGTCAATCTCAAGGTCAAATCCAAGGTCACCATCGGATTCCGCGTTGAAAGTTACTAAAGGAATGACCTTGACCTTGGTCTAATAATCTGTACCTAAAAAGCTACAGCCTTGTTCCGTTACTTATTTGACACCTTGTATACGCATCTATATGAGGATATCCACGGAACTTTTAACTTTCGGGAAAGAAAAAAAAAATTTTTTTTTTTGATAGCACACTCTAAACAAAAATTTTTTGTACAGTATTATGTCCACAAAGGAAGAAAAAAATAGTGCTCACGATTTTTTTAAATAGTTATTTTTTTAAAAAAATTAATAAAAAAATTAAAAATTAAAATTATTCACTTTAACGATTACGGTTTCCAATGAGATAGTATAGTTGTTTTTAAACTCAATAACTGTCACTTTATTATTCAAAAATGATTTTCGAAACATATCAATATATTATAAATCTTATAAATAAATATATTATTTATATAACGTCAAAATAACAATATAAAATATAACCAAATCATTTTTTTTACAAGCTTCTCTTCTTAGGCGCTACTTTCTTTGGTTTTTTCTTTATTTCTCTTTTTATTGTTGAGGGAGATAAATTCCAGCTTTGAGGTTTCAAAGCATAATGATCGCATGGCAGTTTTTCAGAACATGTATTACAAGAAAGATAATTTAAATACAATAATTCTTTTTTTTCTTCACTCCACAACAATTGAAAGATTTGGTTTGAATTTGGAGCTGCTTTTAAATCAGATCTAACGAGTAAGTCTATAGCTTCAATATCACATAACTCTACTTCAAAGGTTTCAATTTTAGTTTTCGATTCTTTTTTCAGTGCTGTTATTATATCTTTGACTGAAGTAATATCGTTTCCTAACAAAACATGATCATCACATAATCGCTTTATTGTTCCACCTATAGCATCGGCACTGCTCTTTCCATGACCTGGCGTCGAGATATTCCAGGATGCTCGCTTGAGTTTGAGCTTGTTGCAGAAATGATGAAATAGTTGGAAATTTGTTTTATTCTTATATTGGGTTGTAGGCCCATCGCTCCTAAAATGAATACTTTCTACATCCGGTACAACCGATTTTATCAAGGCAATAATTGGCTGCATATGAGCCCACACAGCCGCTGCATCGTGTCTCAAACTCTCAGATATCGTACAAAATGATTTACAAATAATGTCGCCATTAGATCGTTTATAATAGAAAACCCCAGTATGCATAGTTAACTGTTTTGCAGAGGCACCAAAATGTACTGCTTGTATCT